ATTTAAATGCAGATGGAAAGAACAATGTATGATGTGTACGAAAAAAATACCACGCGTCTTTGATCCTCTATTTAAGGACTTACCGCTAATTTTTCGAAATATAGTCTACTTTTCGGCTATGTGCGATTGTTTCATAATTATACGACACCATCGATTTTCTCCGGTTCCGATGATCAAACTTAACCGAGATTTTTTTCGTAAACTAAAAGATTCCATTTTGAGAGTATCCTGCCCAAAGGTCCTTCCAATCCTCGACCCATACATAAATATTGAATATTTCTCTCTATACCTTAAAAAAAGTAGTTTTTTGGAGTCATATCCCACAATTCGTCTTAACTTTTGTCTGGTCAATATTCTTAACACTATCGAATCAAATAAGGATCCTATTCAGTTCTTTACCTTATGCATTCCAAAAATATTCAATTTTTGTCGATACTTCGTCTGAAAATGAAAAATTTTTTCTTCAAAACCTTAATAAACTTTTTACATTTCATGCTGGAACATTAGAAACGCGACCCACAGTGAATGAAATCCCATAAAGAAAGCACTCAAATTTATATGAAAAAATTTCAAAACAAGAGAGAACGCTATAGTCGGGTGCCCCGACGGTTGCTTAGCTAAAGGGAGTGCGATAGAGATGGAGATATAAAATTTTGATCGGGCATAACTTTTAAACGAATGGTCTGATTTGAAAAATTTCTTCTACGTTTCGAAAGGTATAAAGAAACACAACAAAATAGCAATTATACTTCTCAAAAATCTCTAAAAATGTGGGAGCCAGACACATTTTAAAATTGTTTGTGGGCGTTAGAGGGGGCGTGGCGCTTAGCTAATATATACTTGCGCTGCGTAGGAAGCCCAAAAATATGTGTGGGTAATTCCAACTTTCTAGCTTTTATAGTTTCCGAGATCTCAGCGTTCATACGGACAGACAGATGGACATGGCTATATCGACTCGGCTAGTGACCCTGATCAAGAATATATATACCATATAGGGTCGGAAACGCTTCCTTCTCCTTGCATACAATATAACCTTTTACTCTACACACAAAAAAATTAGCTAAGTAAAATTAACCAATGAAGATAGATCAGAAACTATAAAAAATAGTAAGGGAGAGTGGGGCAATTTCGTCAGCATTTTTTCATCTTGAGACACGTTATCATATTTTTATTTTTATTGTTGAATACGGTTGGCACCAAGCTTTAAGATATGACATTCCCCTTTTTTTTTAATTACCTTGGTGATTTATAAAAAATTAAAAAGTAAAACCAATATACTGGGGCAATCCGGGCACATAGGGGGGTAAAATCGCCACACCACTGGGGCAATTTCGTCACCTGAAAAATGTAGGGAATTTTACGCCTGTAAATATGCTACACTGATCAAACGTACCATTTTTGTTGACGTCCTATGTTTGTTGCTGCTGCCGGTAGTCTTTTCGTTAGCCAGCTCGTCAAATAAAAAAATATGTATTTAAAATAGGTGCGAAGCATAGCATAGGGTGGCGAATTTTCCCCACACAGTACTTTTTTAGAAATAATTATTTTTCTTCCGAAATTAGGCGCGATGTTAAAAATTACTAACGCTGAAATGCACATTATAGCACTGTGTATTATATAAAAAAACCGCTATCTTATAAGACTTATGAATACCAAGATATTGCAGGTGACGAAAATGGCCCAGTGACGAAATTACCCCACTCTCCCCTACTTTAACAATAAAAATAGTCGTCCGTGTATTTGTTTTTGCTTTGGGAACTATTAAAAAGTTGTGTGTATTTTGATTTTGTACCTTAACACTATTTTAAATTGTTGTTTAACTATAAACAATAGTTACCTTAACGTAACTTCTTAGGGCCTGTCCATATATTACGTAATCATCTAGGGGGGGGGGTCCACCAAATGATTACTCTAGTGCAATTTTTTTTTTTTTTGTATGAAGAATTGATTACATGGGGGGGGGTCAAAAATCGCCGAAATTGTGATTACGTAATATATGGACAGCCCCTTACCATAAAAGTATGCAACAGTAATTTCACAAATCTTCTGCGACGCCTTATTTCTAATTCCCAACTGAGTCTAGCCCTTCATGAACCAAGCCCAAGTCAGATTCTGAGTCATTACTATTTTTTATAGTAGCCCTTACGTTTACGTATTACTTAAGAGTAACTATTTTCTTGGTAGAATTGACAGTTTTTGTGGTTGGGGACTGTTTGACAATTATAACATTTAAGTTAAGTTTTTTTTTGGTGTGTACGAGTAACGGGTATAAAAACTTCAAAGTGGCGCAGACTGAGCATCGCGTTTCTAATGTTCCAGCATGAAATGTAAAAAGTTTATTAAGGTTTTGAAGACGAAGAAGTATCGACCAAAATCGAATTGAGATAAATACGGTGTTTTTCCAAACGGGCAGTTCTTAAGGGGGGAGATACATATAAAACTGTAATTTTTTCAAGTTTTTCGTGATTTTTTTAACAAATAAGGAATTGTGCTGGGATTTCGTAACTTGGCATGTTGATTAAATTGTTCTTATATAATTTTACCCAATTTTTATTTTGCTTCTATCTTTCGAAATGGCGGCCCTGGGAAATTTTTTGTCAAGCTATATTAAAAAAAAGTAGGCCAGCTGCGGATCGTCCACAGGTCGCTGTGTAGATACGATTTTTATGAAACTAAGTTTATTTTGTTAAGAAATAATGTAGAAACTGTCTGAACCTAACTTACGTAGAATATCTCAAAAACTATGGTTGTGGCACACTTTCAAACCTTTTTTTATTGTTTTTGGCTATCAAAAAATACTTAAACGTACAAATTTCTACAAATTTTAGACAGTGGCTAATTTTATTACAAACATTTCTGTAAAAGCAGCATGATGATCGAGGCATTACTTTACACGATCCGCAGCTGGGGAAAACGTGGTTTCGAGAAAAAGGCATTTAAAGTAACGGAATATATCTACTGCACAAGGAAGGAGGGTGCCGTCATCCTGGTATAAGTTCCAAAATAGGCAGAATTTCTTTCACACATTTTTAGTGAGTTATTCTACCAATTTAAGGAATAAAAAAAATTTCATTTTTTATTTTTTCTATATAAATCTCCCCCTTAAAAAAATGATTTTGGAGGTCTGTTTCGTGGACGTAATGAATGAACTGAACAGGATTCTTATTTGATTCAAATGTTTTAAGAATATGGACCAGACGAAAGTTAAGACGAATTGCGGAATATGACTTCAAACAAGAAAGGAAGCTAGCTTCGGCCAGCCGAAGCTTATATACCTTTGCAGATAAAGTAAATACCTATAGTTTAATGCTCACTCGGTGCAGTTCCAGGGATTCCATATTCAGCGTGCCTATTTTAATTTTGTTTTTACGTTATCAAAAATCAAAACGCCTACTTCCTACAAAGTTACAATGAATTTTCTTATATTTGTTTGAATATTCCTATGGGAGCCTTAAGATATAGTGGTCCGATCCGGCTCGCTCCGACATATGTACTACCTGCAATAGAAAGAAGACTTTCGGGAAAGTTTCATCGCGATAACTTTAAAACTGAGAGACTAGTTCGCATAGAAAAGGACAGACGGACAGACGGACATGGCTAGATCGGCTCGTCTAGTGATGCTGATCAAGAATATATATACTTTATGTGGTCGGAAACGTCTCCTTCACTGCGTTGCAAACATCTGACTGAAATTATAATACCCTCTGCAAGGGTATAAAAATGAGAATGAAATGATAATGAGAAATATTCATTATTTATGTATGGGTCGAAGATTGGAAGGATCAAATATCCAGCCCATAGCTTGATTACTCATAAAATCGAATCGTTTAGTTTATATTTAGGCAGAAAAAAATTTCGGTTAAGTTTGATCACTGTAACCGGAAAAAATCAATTTTGTCGTATAATTAAAAAACAATTGCAAATAGCCAAAAAATAGACTATATTTCGAAAAATTAGCGGTAAGACTTTAAAAAGAGGATGGTATTTTTTTTCTTACACATGATACATTGTTCTTTCGATCTGCATTTAAATATTTTGCTTTCTATAAACAACTACAATTCTACAAAATTAAAAAAATGTCTTGGTGTCGTATAGTTTTGAAATATACATAAAGAAAACAAGCAGTTTAAAACACGTACATTACCACCTTATCGGAGCGGGTTATATTTTCCGATGTATTCATCTATATATTTTTTTACTTACTAATCAGGATGGCGAAACTTTGAGCCAAAATGGGCATGACGTCTCTAGTACAAATGTACAAATACAGATTTAAGATCCACTTAAGGTAAATACGTATTTGTAAATGTCACAGAAAAGGTCTACAGAAAAACCAGAAGTTTCGTGTTGTACAAAGAAAACCTCTCATCCTTTTAACACAAAAGGGGGTAGTTGGGGATAAACAGGCACGCATTTGCAATCTATTTTTCACTAATTAATCAAAAATAAATAAACTGGATCATCGATGATTCGCGGCGACAGGCCCAGCCCAGGCAAGGCGATTGCAGGTGGAGTGGGGAAGAGCGTTGAACGTGAGTCCCACAGATGATCTTCTGCTTAATAAAGGGCGACGTGATGTCTACCCTCTTAATTTACTTAAAATAAAGACACAAGTTAGGCTATGTTGTATTCTTTAATTAGTAAAGCTTGGAGATGGCTTGCGAATGGTTGGTGCGGGATGAGCTGGGAATGGATTTGGTCGGAAAGGCAACTAGGCAATCGGGTGTCTCTCATATGTTGACGAGTTTTAAATGTCGCGCAGCGCTTTCTTGGAAAAATTAAAAATTCCTTTTCCTTTTAATTAAAACGAACTTTATCTTCCCCTTTGATTTTGCCGCCATTGAAAATAAAAAGCATCATTTATAAAACCATCCCTAAGGAATTGCTAATTTTTTTTAGTGCAGAGTGAAGCACAGCTTATCTGTTTTTACACCCTAGTAGAAGGGTAATACTTAAAGAGTATCTACATATCCGACTTTTTGCTTTTCCGATAATTGTAGCAGCAGAGCGCAAGATTTCTTGGGCCCGGCGCAAGGGAAAAAAGTCCAACACCACCTGTAGCACATCAAGGGAGCAGTCAATGTGGCAGTGCTGCAGGTGCAAGTAACAATCACCCATTATTCCGAGCATGCTCCTCATCCGCGTGTCCTGATATTTGTGATCATAGTACAAAGCCATTGGGCAATGCTTACGGCACCGAATCATTTAGAAGGTAAGAAAGTTTTTTTGTCCAAGTCTATCACTTCAAATTATATTCAATTCTCCAGCTATGAAACAGCGGAGCGCGCCACCTTCGAGGACTCCACGGCAAAATTTTCGATCAGCCGCAGTCGTACAGATTGCACGGAGGTGAGCGACGAGACGACGTCGGGAATATCATTTAAAACGGAGCCCTTCGGGCCGCCCAGCAGTCCCGAGTCTACCAACGATAGCAAAATTGGGCGCAGCCTTGATGACTGTTCCGGGTGTGGGCGGCAAATTCAGGTAATGATTAATTTAAGCGATTCGATTGATTAAATAATAATAAATGTACACTTTATGTTATTTTTCATTTGCTTATGCTAAAAAAGGTTATTTTAAATTACACTGTGCAACCAAATGAATGATTTTGAAATTTACCTCCATGGATGCTATATTTTTGGATTCGTTACAAATTCCCAAGTTAAACTGTGTTTTCCAATAAGTTACCCGACGCAAGAATTCTTAGCACAAGGACCTCAAAGTTCGAAAAATGCTGAAATTGGCCAACTTTTTTTCCAGAGGTCTTAAAGGCAAACGAATTCATGATTTGTTTTGATGTTAAAGTTTTTTAAAAGATACACTCTTTATCTATTAATTCCCATACTTAGAATAATTAGATGATTTTTTTGAAGGGAGAAACAAATTTTAAAAAGCATAGTTAAAAAAAAATAAAAGTATACAGCTCAGGTCAAAATAGTAGTAGTGTTGCCGGCCTGTGTTTTTAAAAGTTTGTTGTTCTGTTGTTGTTCTACTCTGGGATATGGCTCTTTTTTAATATTTCCGAATTTCGGTTTTAATTTTATCAAAATCGAACTACTATATCATATAGCTGCCATAGGAACGATCGGAAAACTGATAAGAAATAATAGGAAATTTAACATGTTTGCGACTTGTAAATTAATAGGAATAATCTGCAAGGGTATATAAGCTTCGGCTGGCCGAAGCTAGCTTCCTTTCTTGTTTTAAGTCTGTTCACCGCATCAAATTGGTTGTGAATAACGGTGAACAAAGCTTCTAAGCTTTATGTGACTTAAATAATGATGGAAGATTTAATGCAATTATATAGAATCCTAGCAATTTTTTGACATAGTTATCAGTACAGTACAATACAGAATCTCGAAGATGTCTGAAATGAAAACATTAAATGTTCCTATTTATTTCAAAACGCGATTTCACAACTAATAAAAATAAGAATAATAAAATAATAAAAAAAAAGATTTTCTGAAAATAAAAAAGTGTTTTTACGAACCCTATTTCTAGGATCGTTTCTACCTCTCCGCTGTGGAAAAACGATGGCACGCCAGCTGCTTACAGTGCTACGCCTGTCGGCAACCGCTGGAACGGGAATCCTCATGCTACTCACGTGACGGCAACATTTATTGCAAAAACGATTATTATAGGTAAGTCGCTAAGCCATTGGGCCAGAGCCTTACCATTGAAGAAAATTCCTATACTATACGGAGCAGTGTTTGAATCTCCGGCTAGGAGCTTCTGGGAAGCGAGTGCGAAGAGGGAAGAACTGATGAATCAGATAAAGCTGCGACTGCATGCCAAGACATTGACTAGAAAATTATTTCCAAACACGCGAGTGTTTATGCACGCGGATGCCTTTAAAATCTGTTCATTGTTTTCGAGCCACTGTGCGAAGACGAAGGCGGCAAACGCGATCGCGAATTCGCCAGGGGAAGCAGACCGCAACGAAGACATCAGCGACCGTCCGTTCGTGTGTGTTTTCTGCTGTTTGCTATTCAGCGCATTCTTAACAAGAAAGAAAGTTAGCTTCGGCCAGCCGAAGCTTATATACCCTTGCAGATCGTTCCTATTAACTTACAAATCGCAAAAATTTTAAATTTCGTATTATTTTAATATTATTTTTTCTATCCTGCCCTATTATAGCTGGGTAAGAATTTCCCTACTGCGCATATGAAATTTTAGATTTTCTTCAAACTCGGGTACTTTGAAGAGTTTGCCTTGGCTATCACCTGTGATTTTTTTGCCATTTGTAGGTGCCCATTTGTGGGCGCTATGAATTTTTGAAGATAAGAACTTAAAAAATGTTCTCAAACTTCAAATTAGTATATCTCGAGAAAGGCTTAGAAGAACAACGTGCAACTTTACACGTTTTTAAATGTGTACTGGGGGAGTTAGAAAATAATTTTCTTAAGTTTTTTGTTGTCCAATAAGTATGAATTTTAATTATTTGAAATTTTTTATCGCGGTTTTGAATGTCTTCTTCATCTTTTAAAAGAAACTTAACTATCCAAGATTGTCCATCTCATAACCAACTTAATTTATCCGAAGAAACATTTTTGTTTCTTTTCATCATTTCCAAGATATATATTTTTTATGCGAATTTAGAAAAACCCTATTTATATTTCCAATAAAAACAATTCTTATATGTTTAAGGTAAAAGTTTGCAGAATTCGATTACTCACTGATATTATGCACATATATTAATATCATAATTTTACCACCGTCCCTTCATATAGCTGCCATACAAATCGATGGATTTTCTTATTGTTAAGAAGGTAGGCTTTGAAAAAATTTTTAGTTTCAGATTGTAATTTTAATTTTTCAAAGCCTACTTTCTTAACAATAACAAAACTCATCGATTTGAGTTCTTATTTCAAAAAACACCGAAGCTAGAATTTTATTAACGTTTCCTTCCTATGGGAGCTATAAGATATAGTTGTCCGATCCGGTCGGTTCCGACTTATATACTATCTGCAATAGAAAGAAGACTTTTGGGAAAGTTTTAAGCCGATAGCTTTAAAACTGAGAGACTAGTTTGCGTAGAAACGGACAGACAGACGGACGGACAGACGGCCAGACGGACAGACGGGCATGGCTAGATCGACTCGTCTAGTGATGCTGATCAAGAATATATATACTTTATGGGGTCGGAAACGTCTCCTTCACCGCGTTGCAAAGTTCTGACTGAAATCATAATACCCTCTGCAAGGGTATAAAAACGCCCTACTCACCTGCTCAAGTCTCCTCACCGTCCGACCACCAACTTCTAGAGGACTGGGACATGTGGCTTCGCTAGCGTTGACAGTCTGGGTGGGTTTTCTAGCCCACAGCTCCCTCACTCCTCCACACACAGCCGCCGATGGCAGAAGCTGCAGTACTGCGATTTCGCGCATCGCAGCAGTCACGCAAGCTCCCAGAATGATCAGTACGAAATGTAACAGCAACGGATTATAACTACACGGAAATTCAATTCATTACTGCAGTCTTCTACAATTGTGAGACCTCAATTTTTGTTGAGTTTTTTCAGGGCTACTAATACGGCGGCGAGAGGTCCAGTAGGACAGGGCTAGAACCTGTTCTGCGGTACCGAATTAGTTTTCCATTCATGACAGAAACCATCGACTTAAGAAGCATAAATCCCCCACCCTGAAAACAAAATGGACTAAAAGGGGGCCTAATTACCTGAAAGCCATGCATTACCTAAAATGTTGGTCATGTGGAATATATTTTGTACGCAGCCTTAGATTTATTTTTGGTAATCGTTACGTAAAACAAGAAAGGAAGCTACCTTCGTCCAGCCGAAGCTTATATACCCTTGCAGATCATTCCTATTAACTTACAAATCGCAAAAAATTTTAAATTTTGTATTGTTTTTACATTAATTTTTCTGTCCTTCCCTACACCCAGAAAAATGATAGACAACATTTTAGGTCATGCATAGCCTAAAACATTTTAAATGGACTAAAAGTTCCTTTTTAGGTCATGTACTGCCTAAAAATTTAAATTTTTGGTATATTTGCCCTACTTTTTAGGTCCCGTATAGCCTAATATTTTAGGTCATCGTGGGCCTTAAAATTAATGCATTTTACCTAAATAAATTTGCACGGAACTCTGATACCGTTCTAGCGACGCTATAATTCCCAACCAGTTATAGCGCGGCTTGCATGGTAACCCACTTCGATCGTTGAATAAAACAGAGATTTCACTGCTGAACAGTGAAGCCTCTTCGCTCGTTTTTGTGTGTTGGAATAATGACGACTTCTTGAAGACTAAGCCGACATTGACCTCGAGTTAGCTATAAATTTCTCTGTATTTACTTTATAATATGAAACATTTTTCAGTACAAATTTTTAGGCCAAAGAAAGCCTAAAATTTTGGATAAGGGTTTTCTCATATTTTAAGGCAGCCAATTACCTAAAATCTAGGCCAAAAATTACCCCATTTTAGGCCATTAATGGCCTAACATTTTAGGTCATACAATCCTAAATTTTAGGCCATTCAAGGACTTAGCCCCAGTTTTAGGCCAATTTTAGGTCATTTGTAAATCCTAGAGTAGGAGAGAATATAATAAAAATCAACGGAGCTAGAATTCGTTTCCAATTAATCTCCAATTAATTTTTCGATCGTTCCTATGGCAGTTATATGATATAGTCGTCCGATTTTGATCAAATTAAAATTGAAATTCGGAAATATTTAAAAAGAGTCATATCCTAGAGTAGAAGAAAATACAATAAAAACCAAAGAAGCTAGAATTTATTTTCTATTACTTTTCCATTAATTTTCCGATCGTTCCTATGGCAGCTATATGATATAGTCGTCCGATTTTTTTAATATTTTATTCGAAATTCAGAAATATTTAAAAAATAACATCCCCAAGAGTAGAAGGTAATATTTCAAAAAACACCGAAGCTAAAATTTGTTAACGATTTTTTTTCCGATCCTTCCTATGGCAGCTATAAGATATAGTTCTCAGATCCGGTCGGTTCCGACTTATATACTAGAGGTCTGCATGAATGCATTCATTTCTCAGTCAACAGTACTGTACAGCAGTGTACTGCACTCAAGTATACTGAACTCATTTCTATCTGAACAGTATTTTCCATAACTCAAAAAATAGTGTACAACATTTTGGTGTTCTCATTTAGAGTGAGTGACAGTAAAAGTTGTACTCTCTATAAGTGAGTTCTATGCAATGTATCGTTTTACAACATTGTACACAAAACAAAATTATGGGTGCATATCGTGTGTTCTGTCAAACAACTGGGTTGCACCTAAGTTCCTTGAAAATTTAGTAGTTTGCAAAGCTTTGACATGGCAGCTTCTAAGGAAAACGACTCAAGCGCAATAAATTCGCAAGAATTGGTAAGTGATGATTAAAATAAATATTACATTGCCAATTGAGGTTAATGTATTGTTAAATCCGTTAAATAACTAAATATCTGCGTTTGTTTAGATGATTGTGTTTGTCCTTATATTAGTATAGAGTCGCCTAAACTGTGTTTGTATGTATGTATATAAAAATATGTGGTATTAAAGTATAACTGTGTTAAATCAGAATGCATCGTTGGAGAACTTAAATGAAGCGACCAGTTTTAAGCAACATGCGGCCAATATCAAATGCAAACTATTGAATGGACAATTCAAACTTTCGGCCAAACGAGGACGAAGCAAGGTTTGGGAGACTTTTTCCCGGATAGTCGACAAAAGCGGTGCCGAGCTAAATGATTTCGTTGCGTGCAACATTTGCAAAAGCGTGTACAAGTTCGAAAAAAGCACGTCAAATTTAGTTAAACACAGGTGCTACATCATGACGAGCTCCCGCAACCGCATCCATCCCGATGTTGATGTGGACACCGAAACAAAAAAAAGTGCACCAAGCTAGTCACTGAATGGACCGTCCAAAATGGCCGACCTTTCAGTATTATAGCAGACTCCGGATTAAAGAACTTAGCACAATTTTTTATTTCTGTTGGTGCAAATGTCGGTCAAAATGTTAATATAGACTCATTATTGCCACATCCAACTAGTGTCTCACGAAACATCGGAGCACTTTATGAATTTCATTTTAATGAAATTAAAAAAGAAATAGTACATTGTAAGGCATTTGGATATAGCATAACCTCTGATATTTGGACAGACGATTTTTTTAAAGAATCGTACATATCCCTGACGATGCATTACATAAAGGAAGGAACCCTTAAAAACCGCTTGCTGGCAATAAAATCGATGAAGGGAGTTTCTTGTACCGGTAAGAATTATAAAATTTGTATAATTGCTTTGGTTTTAATATTAACAAAAACTGTATCTTAGGTGATAAAATAAGAAACAAAATAGAAAGTATTCTGGTCGATTTTGGATGCGATTTATCGGTGGATGCCCCAATAATTGTTACAGACAGAGGATCTAACATGAAAGCTGCATTCAGTGGATTAAATACATTAAATTGTGTTAACCACTTAGTACACAATGTTGTTGAAAAAGTGGTCAACCAGGTTCCTGAAATGAAGGAAATGGTAGATCGCTGCAGCAAAATTGTTAAATATTTCAAGAAATCAGGACAAAACAGCAGCCTAAAAAGTACTCTGAAAAGCTACTGTCCTACTCGATGGAATACGATATATAATCTTTTCCAATCAGTTGAGATTAA